GCTAGAGATTCGGCGTCCCCTTCAACCTCGTCCTTCTGCCTCGGGGTTCCAGTGGCCACTTCCAGCCACGTACAGATACAGAAGAAGCTGCGTTTTGAAGACACCCTGGAGTTTGTAGGGTTTGATACGAAAATGGCTGAGGAATCCTCCTCCTCATCTTCCTCATCTTCGCCAACCGCTGCAATCTCACAGCAGCAGCAGCAGCAGCAGCAGCAGCAGCAGCAGCAGCAGCAACTTAAAAATAAGAGTATATTAATTTCTTCTGTGGCTTCAGTGCACCATGCAAACGGTCTGACCAAATCATCCACCACGGTCTCTAGCTTTGCTAACAGCAAGCCTGGCTCGGCTAAGAAGTTAGTGATCAAGAACTTTAAAGGTAACCAAGGCCAAAATCCATAATCACCTACTAAGAATTTGACACGTGAGCAGTCACGTGTGCTATATATGTTAGGATATCAAACAGTATAGAGGTCGCCTAATGTTTTATGCATAATCAATGAGTGGAAGGGAGGTCCTATTTTTGGTGGAGGGTTCTTTTTTCTGGGGTGTTTGTGGCCTTGCTCTGAAGCACACTCTTTAGTGTTTGCATACAGTGTTTTTTGAGGTCTGCCTCAGCCCATTATATCTAATGTGTTGTTCTTTAAAACATCGGCAGTATGATTGATCCGGATTTTTACAGGTGAGAAACTTGTCTTGTAAAGAGGTACATTTCAGGTGCATAGTGAGTCTTGGCACTACTGAGGTTTGTATTTTTATAGGCCACATGCTCCAGTCCCTAAAAATGCAGGTACCAAGGTTGATCGTTTTATGTTTAAATGAGATTTATAGTTAGGTTCTTAGTGTAGAGTACTGTATTTGTGAAACTCACTGTGGAAGGAATATTGGGTGAAAAAAATCATTTGGGTTTCTGAATTTCTTCCCAAAGGTAAAGTCTGAAAATGAAAACTACTGTGTATGCACAGAAGTAGTCTAGATTCTATCACTAATCTAAAGATAGAAACAGTGAACTACGTCTTTACCTCACCAAAAGGGGCATTTCAAGTATTGACCTGCAGCTACTAGAAAATTTTGCGCACCCCGTGCTTGAAATTACTGATTGAGAGTGTGATGCATGCACCAATGAAAATATAAGCAGCATTTAAAATTTATTTGAGCTAAGTTCTTATCTGTTGAATGTGTTTTTCTGATTATTTTTCACCATCCTCAGCTAGCAGGTAATAGATGCTAGACTGTTTATTCAAATGGGGATGTGAATGAATGGGGAGAATTGGTTACTCTGCTTGTGTTTGAAACGTTGGTGCGGAAAAGGGCAATGTGCTATTTGTCTCACCAAATAGTATTGTCTATTTTTAACCCTTTTTTATATGACCCTCTTTCTGTCCTCAGGCTCTTGAGAGTTACCTTCTTTCTGATTTACTAGTAGAGCTTTTGAAAGTGAATATGAACTGTATTTACAAATTCATTCATTACTTCACTTAAGACAATGATTTAATAGGGAAGGATTTTTCAAGAAATGAGCTGTGATTCTAATTGCATTTGCAAATTGATTTTAGACACTTTATTTTTCTTTCTCCTGAAGGCATTAAAACATTTGGATTCTTTAATTTGCTTCACTTATTGCTGGTGAATGAAGTTTAAACTCTAGATTAAGATTTCTTTCTGTTCTGAAAATACTGCATAGGTTCTGGAGTCATTTGGGTGTTAGTTTGTTTTTAAATTTTCGTTCTGTTCCTTTAAAACCAAGAAATGTTCTCAGATTCTGTGATTGCTGTATACATTAGGGAGTCAAAGAGACCTGGACCTGGATTGGAATCCCAGCTTTGCCATTGACTAGCTACAGTGACCTTGGGCAAGCTTACTAATTAAGTTCCAAACTCAGTTTCTTCAGTTGTAAAATAGAGGTGTTACTATTCACTGTGGGTATTTTATTGTGGGGATGATTTCTAAGAAGTTTCTAAAATACTTTTCACATAGTCCATACTCAGTGTTTTAAATCTTCTCTACAAGATTCTTGTCAACTTTGGTTTTAAACATGCTAAAATAAGATCAGGACTGCTATTTTTATCTGTCATTCTTGAATTTTTATGTTTGAAGCAATATAATCAATAGGAGAAAAAAACCTTGATTTTTCATAGGTGAGTCAAAATGACTTAATAGTATTTAGTATCTTAAATTTTGTTTATATTGAACTTTTAAAAACCATGGTTACTTTAATATTGAGGAAGATCGTAGAATAGCAATGCTGTTCTATTTTATGGTCCTATTCTATTTATTTTACTGTATCCTGAATATTTTTCTAATAATTTTTGCATATTATTTAGATAAGCCTAAATTACCAGAAAACTATACGGATGAGACATGGCAGAAGCTAAAAGAAGCAGTGGAAGCTATTCAGAATAGTACTTCAATTAAGTACAATTTAGAAGAACTCTACCAGGTATGTATTAGTGTGGGAAACCAGATTTGGCTAACATTAAGTCAAGATGGGATGCATTTCTATTTTCCTTCTTTAAAGTTTTATTTTTATTTTTACGTGTGTGTTTGTGTGCATGAGCACACTTGTGCAAATGAGTGCAGGTGCCCTTGGAGGCCAGAGGCTTAGGGTGGCTTCGAGCTGGAATTATAGGTGATTGTGAGCTGCCTGACATGGGTGCTGGGAAGCAAACTTGAGTCATAGAAGACTGCTCTTAACTGCTGTTCCATTTCTCTAGTCCCTTGTGTTTTAACTTTTTTGTCAAGACAGCTTTCTCTATGAAACAGCCCTGGCTGTCCCAGAACTCACTCTGTAGACCAGGCTGGCCTCGAACTCACAGAGATCCGCCTGCCTCTGCCTCCTGAGTGCTGGGATTACAGGTGTGTGCCACCACTGCCGAGGCTTGTGTTTTAACTTTTTGAAATACTTTCTTTAGTAGATTTTTGGTTTCCCTACTAGTTAATTGGTGCCTTCTATTTATGGTCACAGCCCATAGTCTTACTTGAATTGGGGATGCATAATTTGGCAGTTCTGAGAAAGACTTATATTTTGATATAGTAGAGGTATGAGCTAGAGTGGAATGTTATGGCATAGATCCTAGGATATATTTTCTTGGTGATGTCATTTCTGTTTTGGCATTATTGCTTAGTTCTTATACCCACCTATGGGAAAGGCCTCAAGACATGCAGCTCTTCACATTCTCATATCCTTTGTTCTGCCTTATTGGTTTTTTTTTTTTTTTGGTTTTTTGAGACAGGGTTTCTCTGTGTAGCTTAGGAGCCTATCCTGGCACTTGCTCTGGAGACCAGGATGGCCTCGAACTCACAGAGATCCACCTGCCTCTGCCTCTGCCTCCCGAGTGCTGGGATTAAAGGTGTGCACCACAACACCCGGCTTTCCTTATTCTTTTTTTTTTTAAGTGCATTTGTTTTGGGATGGGGCAAACCATGTGTGGAGGTTAGAGGACATCTTATGGGAGTCAGTTTTTGCCTTCCACCCTGTGGGTCCCAGGGACTGAATACACTCATTAGGCTTGATGGTAAGTTCCTTTACCTGCTGAGCTTTCTTCCCCCGCCCACCTTCTCGAAAGAACTTAAGAAAAGTTTGTGTGTGTGTTTTGAGAGAGACTTTGTGTGGTAGCTTCCATCTTCGGCACATAACACATGTGGAAGTCAGGGCAACATGCAGAAATTGATCTCTTCCACCATGTGTGTCCCAGGTATCAGACTCAGCTTGTCAGGTTTGGTGGCAAGCACCTTTATCTGATGAGTCATCTCCTTGTCCCTTCCTGATTCTTTTTTTTTCTGGAGACAAAGCTTCTCTATGTAGCTTTGGCTGTCCTGGAACTTGCTCTATAGACCAGGCTGGCCTCGAACTCACAGAGCTCTTTCTCCTCTGCCACCTGAGCTCTGGTATTAAGTGTCTGGGCTACTACTGCCTTGAGGCCTCCTTCCTTCCTTCCTTCCTTCCTTCCTTCCTTTCTTTCTTTCTTTCTTTCTTTCTTGCTTTCTTTCTTGTTTTGGTTTTTTGAGACAGGGTTTCTCTGTGGCTTTGGAGGCTGTCCTGGAACTAGCTCTTGTAGACCAGGCTGGTCTCGAACTCACAGAGATCCTCCTGCCTCTGCCTCCCGGGTGCTGGGACTAAAGGCATGTTGTTTTTTTTTTATTGAGCTTGTTCCATCTCCCAGTCTACTTCAGATCTACTCCAGAAATGCACAGCAGCTATAGCCTGAGGTTCATGTTTGTTTTTCCTGATTTGTCAAGAACATTTTTCCTCACTGTGGTTTTGACAAAACTAATTCAAGAAGCTGTTTGTCCTTATAGCACAAGCCATTTGCTATTTTAAAATACTTATATGATTACATAGACTGTTTTAGAGTTTTCCTGTTTAGTAAGCCTTAGTAAGAAATTATGTTAGTTCAGTATGTCAGCATTTGTAGTTTTTTTTGTATTATAGTTGTAGAGTGAGTATGTTGATGACTAAATTCTGGCTTAGGAGTTAGAGGACACATTTGGGATTTAATTTTGACTACTGCTTGTGGGTATTCAGGCATCTGTACTGGCCTGTCCTTGGGGTTCTGACAGGACACGTCCTCAGCTGCAGCCACTAAGAGCACCACCTGTGCACATTCACTATTCCCTTTTAAAAAGGTCCCTGCTTGCCTCTCATCTGTCTCTTTCTCCCTCTCTTTCTCTTCCACCACTCTTGTCCCACAGGGACCGGTGTCTGCCCTCTCTCTGTTCCTTTTCCTGCCCCTTCTCTCTCCTCTTCCAATAAACCTCCTGTGTGAGTCCTGTTATATGGTGTGACTTCTCTTAATGGCATTTTTATTTATTTATTTCAAGTCTATAATCTTTTTAATATATTTTAAAAATGTATTAATTTATTTTTTACATTCCAATCCCAGTTCCCCCTCCTTCCTCTCCTGATCCCCACACTTTCCCCCCACTGCACCTCTCATCGGCTCCTTGGAAAGGGTAACTTCTCTCCTAGGAAGTCTAAGTCTGTCCCATCATCTTGCACAGTGTTTTAAAATTAACACTGCTGCCTTTGCAATCTTGGGCAAAACAATAAACACCCTCAGCTCTAGTTCCCCCCTCTATAAAACAGGCAAACTACTACTTGCCTTGTCTTTCTCTCTGGGTTGCTAATAATCAAATAAGATGTTTTTGAAACAAAACGACACCTTAATGAAGCCACTATGAAATATAAATTGAACTGATGTTATCAGTAGTCACATTTTTTACAAACCACAGTATACCTTTTTTTAAATCTGTAATATGTTAAATTGAGATCATAGGTTTCTGTTGCTGTGAAAATTCAGTGATTCAGTGCATACACAGTACAGAACTGTAATCAGCAACTGATGCTGGAGGTAATACTAAGCTGTCCCTTACAGGTAAGTCCGCCTCATTTGCCTTGTTTGGCATATTATATAGATGTGCCTCCTGAATTGTAAAATAACAAAAGTAGATTTAAGAAATCAGAATGAAAAAGGTCTTAAAAAGTCTATGAGGCAGATCTCTGTGAGTTCGAGGCCATCCTGGTCTCCAGAGCGAGTGCCAGGATAGGCTCCAAAGCTACACAGAGAAACCCTGTCTCGAAAAACCAAAAAAAGTCTGTGAGGTCCACATAATGTGTATGATAAACCTGCAAAGAAGATCCTTTTCCTCCTAGTTCATTTACACCATTACTGGAACTTAAATATATAAAGTATTACTTCTAATCCCCACTTTATCTACAAGGAGACTGATTCTCAGAATCACTTATTGGCTAAACAAGAAAAGTCAAACTAAGATGTTTGATTCCTAACTCCAGTAGATTTTTCACTACTGTGCTGCTTCACTTAATAACACCACGGCACCTTAAATACCCACTGTACAGCAGTATTCAAAGCAGCTTGAGGAAAAAGCTATCAGAACAGCTGCTCTTTCCATTTTTGTATGTAGTCTTTATTTGGGGATGTTGGTGTACAGCCAGTGTTTAATTACAGTAAGGTATTTGTATGTTGGTTGTAGCTATTAATGAGCCCTGCTCACCTTAAATATTTTCCCTGAGTTTTTGATTTGACTGTATCTCCCTGATAGATTGATTTTGTTGATTTCTTGCATGTTTAAAGAGCATACATAAAGGTTTTGTGTGTATTTTTGCTTTTCTTGTATTTAATTTTACTTGTTTTTTTTTATATTGTTTGTTTTTGATTTTTTAAGATAGGGTTTGTCTGTGGCTTTGGAGCCTATCCTGGAACTAGCTCTTCTAGACCAGGCTGGCCTGAAACTCACAGAGATCCTCCTGCCTCTGCCTCCCGAGTGGGGGACTGAAGGCATGCTACACCACTGCCCAGACTATTGTTTGTTGTATTTCTTGTCCTAAAGTCACAAGTACCTAGTTGTAGTAGGACATGCTTGTAATGTCAGCACCTCAGAGGCTAAGGCAGGAGGATTTTCAGTTCAAGGAAGACTGGTTTATATAGGAAGACCTTGTCTCAAACAAAATTTTTAAGTTCTTATTTTGTAAATGTTCCTTTGAGATAGTCTAAATTTTTAGAAAAGAATAGATTTTCCCATTGTGTTTTTAGTAAGTACATAAAGTCTATATTTTTGCTTATTAATTAATTAACTTATTTTTGAGGCCCTGGCTGTCCTGGAACTCAACTCACTATGTAGAATTAGCTGACTGGGATTAAAGGTGTATGCCATCACACCCAGCTTTTTATTTTAATTTTTTTTGTTTTTGAGGCAGTATCTCACTATATATAGATACCTGGCTATCCAGGCACTCACTATGTAGATCAGGCTGGCCTCACTGATATGCACCTGCCTCTGCCTCCCAAATGCCAGGATAAATAGTACTTTAAATGATAATTGTTCCTGAATTTTAAAATTACCTTTCTTTCTTTGTTTCTTTTTTGTTTGTTTCTTGAGACAGGGTTTCTCTGTGGAGCTTTGGAGCCTATCCTGGCACTCACTCTGTAGACCAGGCTGGCCTCGAACTCACAGAGATCCACCTGCTTCTGCCTCCCAAGTGCTGGGATTAAAGGTGTGTGCCACCACAGCCAGGCTAAATTTACCTTTCTTAACAATCTTGAAATACTTTTGAGAATAAAGCTGTGCTTCATATTTTGAGTAGGATTTTTGTTTGTTTGTTTGAGCTTGCTTGCTTATAAATAGGACTGTGTTTAAATGCACAAATTTGGGTTGATTAGTTTGTCTTTGAATAAAAATTGGTAGTTTGAGATAGAATCCCACTGTTAGTTAGGGTCTTAACTATTTGAAAAGGCTGGCTTAGTTTATACTTCATTTCTGTTGAAGATTATTTTATGTAACAATAATGAGAATTCTGTCGAACTGTTTGTGAAATAGATGTTAAATAATGTTCCTTTTTATTCTGTTCTATAGCTAGATATCCACAAGACTAGATGCAAATTATGCATCTCCCTCAATAAAGATTATCATCAATTGTAAAATGTGGTTACTTAAGTAATCAGTGGGTATTGGGGAAAAGTTAAAATTCTTAACAGTTTTGATAACTAGCTATTGCTTTCTCAAAGTTTAACTGCTGCCACCTGTTCGTGTTTATTTTTGTTCTGTTTGAAGATTTATTTTAATATATATGGGTGTCTTGCCCACATGTTTGCCTGTGTACCACATGTCTACAGTGTCATTAGAGGCCAGAAGCAGGCATTAGATCCCCTTGGAATTGGTAGCTGAGAGCCGCCTTGTGAGTGCTGAGAATGGAATCTGGGTCCTCTACAAAAGCAACAAGTACTCTTACCATTTCTACAGCCCTTTTTTGATTTTTATTTTTTGAGATATGGACCCTCTAACCCAGGCTGACGTAGAACCCTGTGGCCCATTATGATCTTGAACTCACAACTGTCTTCTTGCTTTACGAGTATAGGCATGAGCAGCACATCTGACTTTCCCCATTAATGATTTATAAGATTATACTCTATTATATATTTTTCCTTGGTTTGTTTGTTTGTTCGTTTTTGGAGACAGGGTTTCTCTGTGCAGCTCAGGCTCTCCTGGAACTGGCTCTGTAGACCAGGCTGGCATCAAACTCAGATCCATTTGCCTCTGCCTCTGGAGTGCTGGGGTCAAAGGTTTGCGCCACCACTGCCAGGCTTGTTTCTTTCTCTTTTAATGAATCGTTGTATTGTCACTGATCATTTTAAAAATGTTCAGTCACGAAATGAAGGTCTTTGACAACTTTGATCTTATTTAAACACCGTTCTGCTACATGCTGTTGTGTCACAAAACTTTTCCCGGGAAGCTCCAGTATACAAGTCTACTCACCGCAGGTAGGGAACTCATGATAGACCAAAGTATGAATACCACCAAAGTCTAGCTTGGTGAACCAAAGAGTTTTATTGGGGTTACTTACAGGGGTATGCGTGGAAGGTTACAGGAGCAGCAGTGTCTCAAAGACAGCTTCATCACCAAAACTCACCCTAGCATGGGTGACAGGACAGCTCACAAAGCTGGGAACCTGGAGCTCACTGAACAGCCTGCAAGCAGCTCAGCAGGTTTTACAGTGTTCTTACCAGATACCTTCATTGGTCTAAACCCCTTCCAGGTAGTTAGTCTGGTCTCAGAGTCTTCTTTGTAGCTCAGCTTCCTTCTGTCTTAGACTCATCTTTTATTGCACACTCTGTCAGAGAGGGGCACAGTAAATCAGGTGAGTTTCAGGGACTTCCTGAAGCTATTTTGAGTTGTTTACCTACTTGCTTAAGGAGCTTCCTGCAGGATAGAATGGGAGAAATTTATACAACAATATAAAAAGGAAAAGGCAAAAACAAAAACAATTTAAATTTCATTTTATGATTAATTTCCTTCCTGAAAATTTTTAGTACTTTGTTCTATGTGTAATGTATTGTCTTACCCTTTTTTTTTACTAAATGTAAAAGATAATTTTGCATTTAACTGTTACATGTTACTGAGTTTTTGCAGTATGTTTTCTTTTTTGTGAGGCAAGATCTGTATGGCCCAGGCTGTACTCAAAAGAGTTGAGATTTTTCTTCTGCCTCAGGCTCCTGAGTGCTGGGCTTACAAGTATATGTTACCATAACTGGTTCCTTTTCTTTTTCTAAATGTTTTGAGACTAGGTCTTAGATGACTTGGAACTTACAGTGGAGATCAGGCTTTTCTTGATGAACTCCTAGAGGTCCACCTGCCTCTGAGTCCCACCTGTTTGTTCCCTTACTCCACATCCTCACCAATATGAGCTGTCACTTGTTTTATTGAACTTAGCTATACAACCAAATCTCCTTTAAAAAAAAGAAAAAAAAAAACTTCAGTTACCACAACCAGGTCTTTTTAAAAAAAATCTGTATTTATTTTATTTAGTTAATTTTATTTTGGTTTTTCAAAACAGGGTTTCTCTGTATTACTTTGGAACCTGTCCTGATACTCGCTCTGTAGACCAGGTTGGCCTCACAGAGATCTACCTGTCACTGTCTCCCAAGTGCTAGGGTTAAAAGTGTGCACCACCACTGCCTGGCTTATCTAGTTAATTTTTAATTTGTTTGCACCTCTGTGTGTGATGAAGGAGGAGCTGAATGCTTGTAGAGGTCACAGGACAACTTTGTCCGTTCATAAGTGGAAGCCAGGGCCTCAGTCTTTTACTCCCTGAGCCACCTCTCCAATTTTTCCTTTCTTTAAATATAAAAGTTTGAAAAATACCTAACTTAATATGACTATGGCAAGAGTTCCCTTGGTGGGAATTCTTTATCTTACTGTCTTTGTTTCTGAAACACATTTCATTTTCTGTATGTGTATTTTCCTTTTTTTTTTTTTAAATAAGTGGTTGGGGTAGGTTTTGTGCTTTTTAATGTAATACATGGCTTTTGGTGGATAGGAGCTGGGATCTGGAGGAATAAGGGTTAAAAGCTTGCTAAATATTTGTATTTCATGCCCAACTGCCTTCAAAGGCTTTAAGGCCCAGTGTTAACACCCCCATCTTTTCCATTGCTAGGCTGTGAACCCAGGACCTCACAAATGCTAAGCAAACGGTCTACCTCTGAGCTGTACTAGCCCTAGCCAGCTTGAAACTTAACTCCACTACCTTTCAGCTAATCATTGATGAGACTGCATGTAAAGCTCAGCTGCATTTTTTCTCTTGCTCATTCTCACTGGCGCTCTGTCCATTTCTCTGGGTCTTTGGGATCTTGCCATGGAGACTTTCCCTAACTTTCCTCTTCTAAAGGCTGTGGTAGGGAGTCTTATGTCTGATTATTCCGGTAAGAACACTTAGCTCTCACTGTAGTGTTCTGATCACGTTTTTCCTTCTAATAGAAGTCCTTGCTAATACGCAGGATGCATTGTTGTAATCTCTCTCTTTAACACACACATTTTAAAGGCAAAGTATTAAATAACTTATGACTATGTGATCACTCTGTCATTAAGCAAAGTCAAGGCGACAGGATATACACATAAAAAGAAAGTGTATTGATTTAGTGACAAGTCAGCGTGGTGTGATGGGTGGAAGCATTAGGCAAATCTGTGGCAGTGAAAGGAGTTACCTTATTTGGAAGAAGCAGTACCCTGTTGAATAGTAACAGAAAATGTGGTATCTTCTGTGAGAAGATAAATAGATGTGTCAAGAGCTGTTTTATGAGATAAAGGAGAACACAGAAGGAAATGGGATAAATAGGATTTATTGAAGTATCAGAAGGAGGGAAAGTAGAAAAGATGAAGTATATATTATCCTATTGACAACCTAAGCAGGAAATGAGAAATGCTTGAGAAAATGAGTCAGTCATTTAAAAAAAAAACAGTAAAAAGAAGTACTACAAAGGAAGGAGGAGGACACCGCCCCATTTAGGACCAGCATGAATAGAGGAGCACATGAAATAAACAAGTGTACCCTTAGGCATTTGTGACCTAACCCTAGGTTTACATGTACTGTAGCCGAGTCTTTCTCAGAGGAGGCCCAGCTTTCCTATTTCTCCATAGCTATTAAATCGGATGGGTCTACCCACTCCCCTTGAGGCGCAATGATTTCCCTCAGTGGAATAAGTAGGTTTCTTTTTATGTTCCTTTTTTTCTCTGTGTAGCCCTGGATGTTCTGGAACTCACTCTGTAGACCAGGCTGACCTCAAACTCACAGAGATCTGCCTGCCTCTGCCTCCCAAGTGCTAGAATCAAAGGCATGAGTGCACCAACACTACCTAGAAGCTTTTTTTTTTAATTTGATTACTGGACTTGAATTCTAGCAATGTGACTTCTAGCTACATATTTACACAATTCTGCTCAGACCAAAGGAAGTTGCACACACACACACACACACACACACACACACACACACACACATCCTTTTAATGGGACTTTTGTCTTCTGTTGTGGTGAGAAAGGAATCTTGGTGTTAGTTACACTTGAGACATTACCAATTGTGGATTAATATCAGAGTTACAATATCTGTTCTTTTAAACTTGAAAGCCTTTTGATACACATAAGTAACACACAGGGCTGAATTTGTCCTGTTAAGATTTGAGGATAAATTCAAGTACTCTGATGAAGGGAAAATGTACTCATTTTGTTGTTGTCATTCATAGTACGGAGTCTTAGACCTCAAGCTGGGTAGGCAGATATTTTACCACTAAGTCCAATTTGTAGCGTCTATATTCAAACTATTTGTAAATTGAAACATTGGAGAAAATTTCATGCTGTTTATATCATACTAATTTTAATATTGCTAGCAATAATTTCCACTTCATTATATTCAGGAAAATCCAAGGTACTATAAGTAAGTTTTAATTGAGTTGTAGTAGTCGTTTCTGGCCTATCATATATAAACAACAGGCAAAATTATTTTAAAACTTTAGTGATATTCTGCTTATGAAAATTGTTACCATTTATAATAAGAGAGCTTTTCTTTTTAGTAGTTGTTCTGAATTGGATATCCTCACAGGATAGAACTTAACTTGATTCCCTTCACCCTTAACTTTTAGTGTAGCCACCATAAACATACAAATGGGGATTTATTTTATAGTACATTGACAATGAAAAAGTGTTTCACCCACATTGCCATATTTTCTTGTTTTACTTTATATCTATTTTGGAAGGGATATGACTTTGTGTGTATATGTGACTAAGGTTTTTCAGGCTAGCCTCAAATTTCTAACCCTCCTGCTTCAGCCTCTTGGGCTAATGCCATGCTTTGGGTTTTTTTCAAAATGGACAAATAGATCATTTCCAATGAGCTGATTAGCACACAACAATGTAATGACTTCATGTGATTATTGACAAATTATATGTTTCATCTTGCAGGCTGTAGAAAATCTTTGCTCTTACAAGATATCTGCAAATTTGTATAAGCAACTGAGGCAGATCTGTGAAGATCACATCAGAGCACAGATTCACCAATTCAGAGAGTATCCTTTTCAAAACAAAATCTTCTTTTTTGTTTTTTCTTGCTTAGCTCTATTGTAAATGGAATGCCTGTTTGGTAGATTATTTTTGTTTTGTTATTCCTAAAGGAAAAAGCGAAGATTTGAAACTTTTCAGTTTTAATTAGGGCCAAAATCTACATGTGTAGTATTTAACTAAAAAGTTACTGTTGTTAACCTTCTATCTGTCAGATTTCCATTTGAGAGAAACAGAAAAAAATGTTGTTTAGGACTAGATTTAAAGGCACATTAAAGGGGATCTAATTTGTTGCTGCAGTTTAAAAAATAGAATAATGTTATATAATTTCTGTTTAATTTCATTTATAGTATGGGGTATTCAGAATTTAAGACAAATAATAAAATAAAAGATATTACATTAACTTGTATTAAACACTTTAAAATATCCTTAACATCTGTCTCAGGGATTCTTTGGATAGTGTTCTCTTTCTAAAGAAGATAGATAAATGCTGGCAGAATCATTGTAGGCAAATGGTAAGTTGGAAATAGCACGACATACTTCATTTCAAACATGTTAAAGTGCTAGAATGTTTGACAGCTTTGTTGGAGGAATTACGGTGTAGCTGAATGTTAAAGCACTAGCTTAGCCCAAGTTAGAGTTCCAGCACTTGGGAGACTGAGACAGAAGCATTATACATTCTAGGCTAGCCTGGGCTACATAGCAAGACCTTGTCACAAAAGAAATCACTAAATGAATAAGAACTTTGTAATACAAATGTATGAAAATGGTATAATGAAATATATGAAATAATGTAATTGATATACATATATGAAAGTGGTATAATGAAACCCATTGCTTTGTATAATTCACAATAATTAAAGTAATATACAATAATTTAAAACAAAAGTTTTGTATTAGGGGGCTCTCTGTAATTGTTCTTTTTTGAAATTGGAAACTAATTTTGGTTGACCTTTTTCTTTAAAACTGCAACTTAAAGGTAAACCAGCATTTCAGAATGATTTCCATCCTAAGAGTCTTTGTTGTTGTTGAATGCAGCTTTTGTTTTAAAATTGTATCCAGACAAGCTTGAGTTTACTATGTAGTTCATGCCAGTCCCAGATTATTTCAATCCCGCTGCCTCAACCTCTTTAGTGCTGGGCTTTACATGTATCATCCATCATACTGGACTTCCTTTTTTTTTCTTTCTTTGAGACAGAGTTTCTCTATAGCTTTTGGAGGCTGCCCTGAAACTATCTCTTGTACACCAGACTGTCCTTGAACTAACAGAGATCCACCTGCCTCTGCCTCCTGAGTGCTGGGACTAAAAAAGTGCGCCACCACCACCAGGCCTGACTTCCTTTTTTTCTGAATGTTTTTCCCTACATTATTTCTCATTAAAATTGCTTCTCCTCTTGTTGGTAATATATATCCTCATATATTATTTGGTTATGTGTGAAAGTTGGTATTTTAGTTTATTTACCTGAAGCATTTCTTCATCCTCCCTAGTGTGGTATTAATTGATTAGTTTATTCTTTATATTAATGCACATAGAAATCTTTAAGTCCACTTCCCACCCCCTAAAATGCCATGCGTCCAGTTAAAGACAGCTTTCCCTCCCTAGCACTGCTGCTAAGGAGCCCATCTATTTTTTTCTGAGATGGGGTCTCCCTGGGGCCTAGAACTTACTGTGTAGCCCTTGCTGACCTGAAACTCAAAATCTCCTCCTGAGCCTCTTGAGTGCTGGATTTGCAGGTGCACCCCATGCCTACCTCCTGTTTCCCTTTTCTGTGACTTCTTAAGTAGCAAACACATTAGAGGACCATCCTAATTCTCTGTTTTCTAGAAACAACAAGAAGGATTAATATAATAGAACAGGTTAGAGATAAATATATGGGACATATTGTCAGCTCGATGTATTTATTTGCATGTTGGATCGTAGTAGTCTGTTTAGTATAAAATCTTTCAAATTCTCATTGAGAACCAATACTACAGTTTCAAAATTACAAAAATTGGTTGTTCTTTTTTTGACAGATAATGATCAGGAGCATTTTTTTGTTTCTGGATAGAACTTATGTTCTTCAGAATTCAATGCTACCCTCCATTTGGTAAGGATACCAGAAAATTATTATGAAAATTTTTGTTATATATCATAGTTTTAATTATTATAAAGAAAAAGAACAAGATGTATTCAGAATATTCTCCTAAAAATTCACATTTGGGTTCTAGCTTTTTTTTTGCCGTTTTAATATAGCAGAAAGCTAACTTTACCTCATAGTGAATCAAGACATTTCTATGTTAGATATGAAGATTAAAGCTTTTTGTAAAATTTCTGTGCCTGAGATTGGGCTAATCATCACGGTTTTGTTGTTTTTCATTGTGATTATATACTGAAAAGTCTATTTGTTCAGGACATAAAATAATTTAATGAATTGGTCTCTCACTAGATGCATAGCATATACCTACAGTAATGATTGAAATTCACTGTAGTTCTGAAGGCAGTTAATAAATAAGCAGATAAACTATTCAGTGCCAGTATAGTGAAAATTATTTTATGTCTTTGAACTAATTTTATCTTTGATTTGACTAAGAAAAGCTGGCTACTAGAGGAAATAAGACACTAAAACCAAGTTATGGAGGAAGCCAGGAATTCAGTTTTAGTTCTCATTAAAGACAAAATGAGTTTCCTATATGCTTTAATAATGTTACTCAAAATTAAACTTTTATACTAATTGCTTCAAAGTCTGGGGCTCCAGTTAACTAAACCTGTTTAGACTAATATTGCCGGTTTATATGATACTTTATTGTTTTTAATTTTAGGGACATGGGATTAGAGTTATTTAGGGCTCATATTATAAGTGATCAAAAAGTCCAGACGAAAACAATTGATGGCATCCTTCTCTTGATTGAGAGAGAGCGAAATGGTGAAGCAATTGATAGAAGTTTACTTCGAAGCCTTTTAAGTATGCTGTCTGATTTGCAAGTAAGTTGCACTTAACACTTCGCTGCCTACAAATCTTACTGTTCTAGTTTGATGTTTGAAATACATAGAGTGCTGTTCTAATAGAGTTCAGATAGAATACATTCAGTAAATATTTAACAAATAAACAAATACGTTTTTTCGCCTCCTCCTAGATTTACCAAGACTCTTTTGAACAACGATTTTTAGAAGAAACTAACCGGCTTTATGCAGCTGAAGGTCAAAAGTTAATGCAAGAAAGAGAGGTATTTAAAATCATGATTAAGAAATCCACTCTCTCTTACAGTAGACATTGCATTGTAGAACACAAACTTCCCTTTGTATTTATATTCCCAACATTGTAATGCTCTTCTCTCATTTAGGTGGCTCCTTTCTTTTTTTTTCTTCTTAAAAGCCAGAATTCTGTATCGTAAACTCTACCTCTAGTTTTACATACGAATCTACCCTGTCACATTTGACAGGGCTGCTCCCCGGATCTTTTGGACTTGACATTTTCTGAGTGATTTAAGGGGAGGAAAACAATAATATAAAAAACTATCTTTGTAGGTTCCTGAGTATCTTCATCATGTTAATAAACGCCTAGAAGAAGAAGCAGACAGACTTATTACTTACTTAGATCAGACCACCCAGTAAGTATTAACAGTTGTTTTCATAATTCTAACTTCAAGTTATTACCTTCCTAGTCAGTTAGATTTAATCAAGGATTTGGTTGTTAGATGGGTGTGTTTAGTATATAATTTTAAAATAGTATTAGAGGCTGAGCTTTAAAAATTTTTGGTGTTTCTGATGCAGGGTTTAACTAAAACCCAGGCTGCTCTGGAACTCACAGTCCTCCATGCCAGCCTCCCAAGTTCTGGGATTATAGGCATGCACCACCATGCCCGGCTTTTAAAATCTTTAGACTGATTAAAACTCAGTGAGTGGGTGTTAAGAGAGAAACTGCTTATGTACTTTCTAAATCTTACTAACCAAGTTAATTAAGCAGTGTAGATATAACTGTTTTACCTTCTTAGTAAAAAGTAGACAAACTGGGAAAAAAGTAGACAAGCAAGACCTTGTAGAATATTACTTTGAGCAAATTCTAAAATATACATTCTCCAGTTATAATGTGGAATAAATCTTGAGCAGTATTAAATTGACACATGGGATAGAAATGGCAAAATTGATGTAAAATGAAATGTTTGGTTTGTTTTCTCTAGAAGCTTTAAATTTCCAGAAAGGTTAAATTTCAATAATTCTGTTTTCCCCTTTAGGAAGTCACTAATTGCTTCTGTTGAAAAACAACTTCTAGGTGAACACTTAGCAGCAATTCTTCAGAAAGGTAATTGAGAGTTTGTAAATAAAAGATTACTAGGGCTGGAGAGATGGCTCAGTGGATAAGGGCACTTGTTGCTCTTACAGAGGACTCCAAATTCCTAGCACCCACATGGCAGCTCACAACCATCCAAAAATCCAATTTCAGGGGATCCAATATTCTCTTGTATTCTCTGTGGGCACTAGGCATGGATACTGCACATATATGCAGGAAAAACACTTGTACATATAAAAAATAAAATCTAAATGAGAAAACGAGATAAGTTCACCATCAAGTCTGCTCAGAAAGTTCAGAAGGTTTAAATGAATATTAACATGTGCCACCCTAGTCTTTTTTCCTGGGGGGTGGTTCAAGACTGGGTTTCTCTGTGTAACAACCGTGGCTGTCCTGCCATACTCTGTAGACCAGGCTGGCCCGATCTCACAGAGATCAACCTGCCTCTGCTTCTCAAGTTGTAATCAGTGGTGGAAGAATGGTCTCAGAACTGTTTGTCTCAGTTGGACATTTAAGGTTAGTAGTAAAAACTGCTTATTGATAGCTAAGCATCAGAAAAGCATCAGAAGGAAAGGGAGGTGTCTTGTGGATTTTTGTGTGTAGCAGTTTTAAGTTTTTAGTATTTAAAATTGTTTTATGAAAACAGCTTGACCAAAAGTTTGTCAAAGACTTTTGAGACCCATTAAAAACAAAGTTTGATAAGCATGTAGTTCATTTCTAAGGACTGACAAACCTTTCCCATTCCTTGTCATAAACTTTCTGTAGTTTTGTGGTTGTCAGTTTCCTAACTGAAAGTGGAACTGAGAAGAGAGTTCTGCTAACTGACACCAGTCAAGAAATTGGGCTTTGTGGGATGGATAGAACAGTTCAGTGTGTGTGAGTTGCCATGAGTTCATCCTCAGTACTACAAAGCAAAAGCAGGGGAATTTGGACATGTAAGAACACAGTAAAGGAAGGTATTCCCTGTATTCATACTGGTATGTGTGTGGGGGAGGGTACATGTGTATGTGGTGTGTTGTTCTTAGCTTATAGAGCCAAGAACTTCTAAAGCTTAGTGTTCTTCCAGGATACCCTGATTTATTTTTCTATTTTTTAATTTACATTAGAAACAAGCTTGTTTTGCACGGCAATCCCAGTTTCCTCTCCCTTCCCTCCTTCCCTGCCCCCTCCACTGATCCTCTCATCTCATCCCCTTTCTGCTCCCCAGGGAGGGTGAGGCCTTCCACGGGGGATCTTCAAAGTCTCATATCATTTGGAACAGGGCCTAGACCCTCCCCCGTGGATACACTTAATTTTTTTTCACATAAATATTATAGTTTAGACCAGTATATCACAATAGTAATTTCAACCTACATTTTATTAAAATACATGGCAATTTTATTCACTCTTTGATTCTTATATTTTAATGCCAAAATATTTCAAACCAGGTTTAAATAACCTCCTTGATGAAAACCGAATTCAAGATTTGTGTCTCCTGTATCAGCTCTTCAGTAGAGTTCGAGGTGGAGTTCAGGTTCTCTTACAGCAATGGATTGAGTATATCAAGGTATTAACAGTTTACCCTTTGATGTTTCTCTTGAATGTTTTGTAATGTGCATACCAAGAATATCAGCAGTTCTTGTCAGATGCATTTTTTAAAGGAAGGAATTTAAAAAAGAAATTGAAATATCAGCCTGCGAATAGTAGCTGTGTGGCAGTGTTCGATGGGATTTCTATCTAGCTCTAAGATTTAAATCGGTGAATATGGGAAATTCAATGATTGTTGGCATTCTGCAGCCATTTGGTCTATTCTTACAAATTTGAACCTCAAATCCTTCCTTCCCTCCCTTCCTCACCACATTCCTATTTTGAAAAGTACAGATCTGACTTCCTTAACAATAAGAAGCTTCTAGAGTAATAATAACACCCCATTTACGATAGCGTATAACCAGTGATCATTAGTTTTTGTATTTATGAATGAAGATTATCTGTTGAGGTATTTTCTACTTTACTTCGGAGACAGCTGTGCCTTTTCTATGATTGCTAAATACATGTACCAAGTTAAAATATGATGTGTTGATTATTTTCCTTATACCATTGTCATTCGCAGGCTTTTGGAAGTACTATTGTTATCAACCCTGAAAAAGATAAAACCATGGTTCAGGAGCTGTTGGACTTTAAAGATAAAGTTGATCATATAATTGATATCTGCTTCCTGAAAAATGAAAAATTTATCAATGCTATGAAAGAAGCATTTGAAACATTCATTAATAAGAGACCAAATAAACCAGCTGAACTCATAGGTATGTTGCACATTCTTTTTCCGGTTGTGAAATTTTTTTATTGATAAACTCTGAGGTGAAAACATATTATACCTATGTCTTGTTTGTTTGATGTTGCTTAGCTACTAATACCAAGTCTGAAAGAGTGTCTCTAAGGACATGTATGTAAGATATATAAATTCCTTCAAGCTAAACACCTTCTCAAAGCCTTCATGTCAAACATGACATAAATTCTTTGTGAGATAGAACATTGGACCCCATTTACTTTTAGTGAGTAAACTTGATTTTGTACTTTCTAAGCCTATAGGGATTTAGAAATGGGGCAGAACACTATTTTCTAAAGGTCTCCAGTTATACAGGAAAAGGCCAGCATGAAATTTCCAAATGACAAGGAATAAAAAGTCTAGGATGAAAATAAATCTAATGATACAGGCTGACTAAATATGCAGGTGTGTTGCAGTGCTTCTCACGGTTCCTTACACATGCACTAGTACCTAGGGAGCTAGGTCCTCTGCCAAAAGGATGAAGTCAGGTTTGGTTAAAGTCAAATTTTGTTTGCATTTAAACATTTTATAAATTGTGCCTTCTGCTCTATTGTTTCTGGTTTGTTCAAATAGAAAAGTAATGTTTAAGGATGCTGACCATCTATGTAAAATACAAACTTTAGAGGATACCCATGTTTTCTGGTGACTTTGTTTACCCTCTACACAGAGCTACTTGGAGTCTTCACCATGAGCTCGTCTGACTTCATTTTATCTCTCTCCTCTCTTGAGTCAGACTTAATGCTTTTAGGCTGCAGTATGTATTATCCTCATGACATTGACAGCTTTATCTCTCTTATTGGAGACTTATAAAATGCATGTACATATAATAGACATACTGAAGAGAGTAGACACCCATGGTCACTAAACAGCAATGTTTTTTTCTCCATTTTAGCTAAGTATGTGGATTCAAAACTTCGTGCAGGCAACAAAGAAGCTACAGACGAAGAGCTGGAGAAAATGTTGGATAAAATAATGATTATATTTAGATTTATCTATGGTAATTGTTGCTTACTGCTTTCATGTTTTTCTTTTAAAACAAAGCACTCTGAGCCAGGCATAGTGGTAGATACCTGTAGTCTAGAATTAGGGAGGCTGAGGCAGCATTGCTCTATAGATTATATGGTGAGTATCAGACGAACTTAGGACAACATAGCAAGGCCTTGTCTCCAAACAAACAAAAACCAAAACAAATAAAGCACTCCTAGATGTATGAGAAATGTTTATATAACCTGGAGAGACTGTTAGGGAACTAGAGGTTGCATTTTATTTATTGCATATTTTTAATTCCTTAAGAATAGTTGAGGAAGGGGCTGGAGAAAGACTCAGTGGTTAGGAACACTAGCTGCTCTTCCAGAGGTCCTGAGTTCAAGTCCCAGCAACCAAATGGTGGCTCACAACCATCTGTAATGAGATCGGGTGTCCTCTTCTGGTGTTCGTGAAGACAGGTTACTCATATACATACAATAAATAAATATTTTAAAAAAGAATAGTTGAGGAAGCCGGGCGGTGATAGAGCATGCGTTTAATCCCAGCACTGTGGAGGCAGAGGCAAGCAGATCTCTGTGAGAGGTGGAGGCCAGCTTGGTCTACAGAGCAAGTTTCAGAACAACCAGGTCTGTTATGCCAACAAACCTTGTATCAAAAAACCAAGTGGAAAAAAGGAATAGTTGAGGAATGTAACTAAATTACCTTATGCTTTGACCTTTCCACTAATATGAACCTGGGAATTTGCTGATTATTTTAATCTCTTGAGTTTTGGTGCTAACAGTACCTGTGTACTAAAGTGTTTTTTTTTTTTTTTTTTTTTTTGGCTGAAGAAAAGTTAATAAAGTCTTAATTTTTTTTTTTTTCGAGACAGGGTTTCTCTGTGTAGCTTTGGAGCCTATTCTGGCACTTGCTCTGGAGACACAGAAGGACAGGAACACAGAGTTCTTCCTGCCTCTGCCTCCTGAGTGCTGGGATTAAAGGCATGCACCACCAACGCCCGGCCCCAGTCTTAAATTTTTTATAGTAAAGAATTTTGAATTGTCTGGCACAGACATAGACTTCTAGTGTTTTTGAGTTTAATAAACTTGGATAAAATGTATAAAGTAAAATAACTTGAGGTTCTGTGATTAAGCTTTTTGAAGCCATTTTGTTACAACTTTACTTGGCATATCATGAGTTCTATTTTTTATTTAATACAGGCAAAGATGTTTTTGAGGCCTTCTATAAGAAAGATTTAGCCAAACGCCTATTAGTTGGCAAGAGTGCATCTGTAGATGCTGAAAAGTCAATGCTGTCCAAACTGAAACATGGTATGTTTGCCGTTTTCTTTCCTTGTTTATTATTTAAATTTTCCTTTCTTTAATGTTTGAGGGAAATGTTGAGTTCATTGTACTATTTTCATTGATGGCTTTCTTTTGTCGATCATTTCATATGCACATGATGGTACTGGTACAGATGATGGGAAAGTAAACTAAGGGGATGGGGAGGATGGCTCAGTGGGTAAGAGCCCTTGCTGTGCAAGCTTGAGGGCCTGAGTTTAAATCCCCTGCATCCATGTAAAAAGGCCATGTGTACTTGTATAACCCAGTGGCTCTAGGGATTGGGTGAGGGTGGGAGACAAGAGGATCTCTGGGGCTTCCTGGATGCCAGCCTAGCTCTTGATGCAATGAAATATCCTGTTTCAAAGGAATAAAGCAGAATGTGGTAAAGCAGTTTAGCCAACGTCCTCTGGCTTTTCCATGCATGAGTGGATACCCGTATCTATACATACATTCCCTGACCCCCCTACACACACAAACCCATAAATTCAGTGAGCTTATGAGGGTCCTAGCTTCTTGTTGGATTTCCACAGTCATTGGCTTTTGTTTTAAAGATAAAGCATTATTATTCTGTTTATTTGTATAAAAAGTTCCCAAATATACCTGAAAGTGGATAAGGTTGCTATATGATTCAAGAGTTTGCCTCTGAATTAGTAGGGCACACACTGGGGGGTAAGAATTTCTTCTCATTCTTATCAATAGTTATAGTCTTATTTTATGGCCAAGTAAGATTTGCCCTTTTTGATTATTAAATGTTTTGTTTGTACTACCTTGAAATATTACAAATATGTGAACATCTTTAATAGAATGTGGAGCTGCGTTCACCAGCAAGCTTGAAGGGATGTTTAAAGACATGGAGCTTTCTAAAGACATCATGATTCAGTTCAAACAGGTAAAAGTGAGTTAAACTCTTAGGAATTCCTTGAACTTAAGGATATTTATGTTATGTCTTTGTGTCAGTCCATATTGAAGAGGATAAATAGAAACATCTATTTGTTACAAATAACTTCATGGCAACTTAAATGGTACAGTAGAGGGAACAGATCATCAGTGTGTAAATTTAAGAGCGTTTGACCTCCTTCAGCATTTAGTCTTAGCAAACACTTAGAATAAGACTGAAACATAAGTAAATGCATGAGACCAAAGTTCGTGTAAGAAGAATTATAACTAGACAGTAAGATTGGGGTTTCTTGACATCTAATTGGTTGGAAGATTTGTATGTTCAGAGCTTGTAATGGGAGAGGTGAGGAGATAAAAGGTGGGGGTGGTATATAATATCTCTGGGGACATTTGGGATGAGAGGCTGGATCTGTAGTTCTGAAGACATGGATAGAAGGTTGTTTTAAAATATTTTAAGAACATAACCAGATACGGTTTTTATAACTGTAGTCTTAGCTACTTTGGATGCTGAAATAATGACACATGGGCAATAGATTGAGACCCTGTCTTAGACATCAGTAGCAACACCTAGGCAATAATGATGGCACATGTCATGTTACACTCTCAGAGTTTCATTAATGACTTCTTGACCACTGTAGAACTGAAGGCCTAGAGAAAGTTAGGAGTCACTAGCTGCAGGATAGGGTTTATCTTCCTTGCCCTTTCCCCTTCTTCTTCCTTTCCCACTTCAGGTCACCACCTTCAAACAGGGAATGGAACAGTTGAAAAACCTGAGACTTGGGCTGGCTGGTGGGGTGAGGAATGGGAGTTGCTGCAAGGTGTTCCAATTCATGTAGGGGTCTCCAAAGGTGGGGACTACAGGTAGCATTGGGGTAAAAGAATGGAGAAGAGATGCTATAACAGCCCAGGTATATGTGATAAGTTGAGTTAATAATGCCTAGGATGTTTTTGTAGGATTTTTATGCTACTATATCAAAATAGCCACCTATTTATTTTTCTACTGCATTTTGTGTAACCTTCGTTTCAAGTCTTAATAGTTAATTGCCTTTATTTTCAGGATGGTTAGTATTCACATACATTTTTAGAATAAGGAAATTATTAAATAAGTCAACATTATGGTATGATATGTACACTTTTTTTTTTGGTTTTTTGGAGACAGGGTTTCTCTGTGTACCTTTGAAGCCTATCCTGACACTCGCTCTAGAGACCAGGCTGGCCTCGAACTCACAGAGATCCACCTGCCTCTGCCTCTGCCTCTGCCTCCAGAGTGCTGGGATTAAAGGCGTGCGCCACCAATGCCTGGCGACATGTACACTTTTGTGATCTTAATTGTATGTGTTGATCTTTTTATAGTATATGCAGAACCAGAATGTACCTGGCAATATCGAATTAACTGTGAATATCCTGACAATGGGTTACTGGCCAACATATGTGCCTATGGAAGTCCATTTGCCACCAGAGGTAAGATTAACTGTTTCAGACCTAAGCTATAGGGATAGAAATCACACATTTTCTGCTTTTCATTTGAAAATATGTGCCTTTTAAAGGCTTATGTCAGCAAAGAAACCAACAGAATATGAGTGTTAATATTTTATTCTTTTATTCCAATTTCCAAGTCCACTTGAGCACATTAATGAAGGTAGGTCTCTAAATTCAGTATTGTTTTCCCCAATTAGTCTTCTATTTCTTAGCTTATGACCCCTTAATCTTCCTAACTGTCAAAAACTCTTGTCCATATTTCACCTGAAGGCAGGACTGGTGAATATGATGGATACATGAGTGTCCTCTAATGTCTTAGAAACTGTCCTACTCAGGAACAAAGCCTCTAGAAGGTTGAATAGAGAAAGATACTGAGAGTCCTCTATAGAAAGTAGCATTGATGCCCCAGAGAGTAGATTTCCCTCAGTAAGGGAAGAATATGGTGAAGATGAAGAGAAAGGGCAGAACTTGAACTTGAGAAGGGCTCACATTTAGCAGGTGTAAGAAGAGCAAAAGAAACTTGTGCAGAAGCAGCAGTGAGAGAAAGGAGTCAGTAGAATGTCAGAGGGGAAGGAATGATTAAATAGGGCAGAAGAGCTAAGAAAGTATAAAGATAGCCAAGCACTGTTACATTGGGTAGATTTTTACCTTACGGTAAAGTGATCGATACCTACTGGATACTCATGAAAGCTATCACAAGTTATTTCAGATGGGGTTTAGAGTGGTGAGAGGGAGATCAGTGAGGTTCCCCAGGGGTGAAGTCACCTGCCAACAAAGCTTGACCTTTGAAGTTCAATCCCCAGGACCTACAAAGTGGAAGGAGGGAACTGACTCCTGAAAGTTGTCCTCTGACCTTCTCAAGCATACTGTGGCATACACACTCCACCTCATACATCCAATAAATACATAAAAAAGTGCTGGAGGTGGTATTACATATGAAGCTTAAAGAAACACTTATTTGTTTTAGATGGTAAAGCTTCAGGAAATTTTCAAGACATTTTACTTAGGCAAACACAGTGGCAGGAAACTCCAGTGGCAGTCAACCTTGGGACACTGTGTACTAAAAGCTGAATTTAAAGAGGTAAGTGGATATTTCCAAAACTGAATTCATTTCTTAATTTCTGCCTTCATCTTTAATATGGAAGTCATGTCCCTTGTTTTGAAGGTTCAAGCTTCTGTTTTATAAGTGTGAACTTACGGCGAGTGGGAGGAGCAGGAGGAGAGGAAGGAAGGGGAACTGGGATTAGAATGTAAAAAATAATAAAAAAATCAAAAGCCAAAAAAATAAGTGGGACCTTGATACCACATGGCAACAGTGATAGTTTGTTAGAGCTTTGTATGTTTTTTAAGATGGTCACCTTTTCAACAATTGAGTTGGCCCTTCTCTAAAATTAAAAACAAATCATGTTACTGGAAGCTAGAGATCAGAGTGGGAGATTAAGGCAAACAATACCATCTTCTTAAAAAAATCCTACAGCTGTTCTTTATTGATTTTTCTTTTTTGTTTGTTTTTTTTGTTTTTGTTTTGCTTTTCGAGACAGGGTTTCTCTGTGTAGCTTTGGATCCTGTCCAGGAACTGGCTTTGTAGACCAGGTTGGCCTTGAACTTACAGATCCACCTGCCTCTGCCTCCCGAGTGCTGGGACTAAAGGTGTGCGCCACCACTGCCTGACTCTTTTTTGTTTGTTTGTTTTTTGTTTTTTGTTTTGTTTTTTGAGACAGGGTTTCTCTGTGTAGCTTTGGATCCTGTCCAGGAACTGGCTTTGTAGACCAGGTTGGCCTTGAACTTACAGATCCACCTGCCTCTGCCTCTGGAGTGCTGGGATCATTACTGATCTTAACAAAGTCAAAATACATTTGAAACTGGGGCCTAGTAGCACAGGGTTGTAATCCTTGTGGAGTTCAAGGACATTCTTGGCTATAAAGCATTAAGTCTAACATGGGCTGCATGAAACCCTGTCTAAAAAAAATGCATTCAGAATAGTAATTTCTTGCTACTTATGCTGATTATTTATAATGATACCCATGACTGAGTTATTTTCATTACTTTGTTCTGTTTTAATAAAGATTATTAAAAAACCTATTAATAGGCTAACTAATCCTCCACCTCATTTTCTGTGGAATCATTCCTAAACCTCAAACTGCACAATTTATTGCCACCTGAAAAAGGCTTTTGAATAATCTTAATCTATGATTAACTCACTAATTAAAAATGCTTTTCCTATAAGAAATGTTTTTGATTAATTCATTTGTTTTAAAAATATGGGCTGATGTTTGTTTTTTCTGTAATAGGGCAAAAAAGAACTTCAGGTCTCTCTTTTTCAAACCCTGGTGCTGCTAATGTTTAATGAAGGGGAGGAATTCAGTTTAGAAGACATCAAGCAAGCTACTGGGATAGGTTTGTATTGCATCCCCCAAGTAGCAAGCAATTGTGTAGTTACTGTGTTTAGAGCTCTGGGAGATACAAGGAAGTAATCCTGTCCTCGGTACTCTTTTTATTTTTCAAAGATGATTCATTTAATTATGTGCATTATTGTAAGCCTATATAAGTATATGTATAACACACATGCAGGAACCTGTTAAGGCCAGAAGGGGACATTGTATCCCCTAGAGCTTGAGTTAGGGGGTTGTGAGCCACCATGTAGATGCTGGGAACTGACATCTATCTGGTCTTCTGAAAGACCAGAAAGTACTCCTCAGTGGTGAGATGTCTCTCCAGCCCCCTCCTGTATTTCTTTTGTTTGTTTTGTTTTTCAAGGTAGGATTTCTCTAACAGCCCGGCTGTCCTGGCACTCATTTTGTAGACCAGGCTGGCCTTGAATTCACAGAGTGAATTCCCAAGCGCTGGGATTAAAGGTGTGCCACCACTGCCTGGCTTCTCTGTATTCTTAATAATGTCAAAACCAGTAAGTACCAGTATGTAGTGCTAACAAGAAGTATGTTAAGAGAAGCTAGAGATTATTGTGGAAGGAAGTGGGACTTGAGTTAGGCCTTTAAATTTTGGTTGGAGAGAAGGCATCTGAAATAAAGGAACTAGTATGAAGAAAGGCTTGGGTAGTGTAAGTTGGAAGCATGAAAAGTTTGTAGCTTAGAATGGTGAGTTATAAAATTCAATAGGTAAGATGTATAAATAGACTGATGAATACAGCTGAAACCTGAGCTATAGTGACTTAAAGGAAATAACCTATTTGCACAACTTACCTGGCATTAGTAGGGCCAGCCACCCGAAACAGGAAAAGATTCTAGCCTAGAAACTGTAAAGATAATTGTGATATGAAGTTCTAAAGGGCTTCTAGTAGAACGATTCCAACAGCAATGGAATTACTAGAGCCATATGGAATGAAGGAGAAGGAGGACTTAAAAGATGAGTCTAGGGGTTTTCATTGAATTAGGTTAGTAGTAGTGTCAGTAGCAATGAAGCAGAGGGTTAATGGAGAATAGAACATACTGGAGTGATAATAAAACAGTCAAATGGTATGCCCTTTTAGTGATTGACTTTAGAGAAGGGGACTGTTACATCAGAAATTTTAGTAGTTGTCTGCATGGGGTAACAAATGTTTTTAGAAGACAACTAGAAAAATATGTTACTGGATAGCACAAAGAGCAGGTGTTGGTGATATGGGGAAAAAAGAATTTAATAGAGAATGTTTATAAATTAAATTGATGTTGAATGTAGTGTTGTGCATGCTGCTAAGCATTATTTCTTCTTCAGAGGATGGAGAATTAAGGAGAACCCTGCAATCACTAGCCTGTGGCAAAGCTAGAGTTCTCACTAAAAATCCAAAGGGCAAAGATATCGAAGATGGTGACAAATTCATTTGTAATGATGATTTCAAACACAAACTATTCAGGATAAAGATCAATCAAATCCAAATGAAAGAAACGGTAAGCCTTTTGCTCTCTCGTTGGACTATATTAGGTTTATATGTGTTTCTAGTAGAAATTTACAGACTACAAATTAATATTATGTGCAGCCAGGTGGTGGTGGCTCACTTTAATCCCAGAACTCGGGGAGGCAGAGGCAGGTGGATCTGTGTGAGTTCACGGCCAGCCTGCCTGGTCTATTGAGCAAGTTCTAGGACAACCTCCAAAGCTACAGAGAAACCCTGTCTGGAAAACCCAAAAAAAAAAAAATTATATGTGCTTGAATGTTACGCCTCATGTGTGTCTGCACCACATCAGGCCTGAGACCCATATGCCAGAAGAGGGCAGTGGATCAACTGGACCTGGAATTATAGATGGGTGTGAATGGTGCTGGAATGTAACCCAGGTCCTTTTAACTGCAGAACCATCTTTCTAGCCCTGAAATTTACAGCTTGTTACTGTTAACATTTCCTGTGCCCACATCTAGCCTAGTACATTTCAATGTTTGATTCTATGTTTCTTTTTGTTGAGGAGTAAACATAATAGGGTTGACAGTCAACATAGTTGTTTGGTTGTTTTGTTTTGTCAAAGGCTCCTGACCCTTGATGCCCAAGGTTGTTCTCTGACATCCCTAACCGCACTGATATAATGCACATACCCCCACACGTTTGTAAACTATCAACAGAATGCTAAATAGCTACATAATCTTGTACATGGCCATTGAAACTTTTAAAAAAGTTCTGTATCTGAATCTTAATCTGTGATCTTTTCCTTAAGATGAATTCATGAAAGTAAATTTTTGGATCAATGGGTATGAACATTTTGAATTTTAGGCAAGGCCAGAGGACAACCTCCAGTGTCATTCCTTAGGAGCTATCCACCTTGTTTCTTGTCATGGTCTTTTACTTGCCTGGAACTCACTAACTAGGCTAGGCTGGCTAGGGAGTGAGTTCCAGGAATCAGTTTTTACATGAGTTCACGAAAATCTAAATTTAAAAATCAGGTCCTCATGCTTGCAGGGCAGGCACTTGGTCAACTGAGTCTATCTCCCCAGTCCTCAAAGGTGGTATCTTTTTTCTTAACCTGTATAGATACTGATTTATTTGTATTGATTGGTACAGAACAGTGTGATTAGAACAGAAAGGCCCTATATGTGTCAAGTTTTTTTTCTCTTGTGTCTGTATTTATCAGGTCCCATTTAGGTAACACTGTTATGTCCCTAATGTACAGTTTGTGTTAATAATTAAGTTTGACTTCATTTGAAAACTCTTTTTAGGTTGAAGAACAAGCAAGCACTACAGAAAGAGTATTTCAAGATAGACAATACCAAATTGATGCTGCGATTGTCCGAATTATGAAGATGAGGAAAACACTTAGCCACAATCTTCTTGTCTCAGAGGTCTACAATCAGCTGAAATTTCCAGTAAAAGTAGGTGTTTCTGTGTCTCCATACTGAACTTGTTATAAATGAAAAAATACATTTGATTTTTAGACAATAATCTTGCAAATATAGATAAAAGGCTTAAAGCCATTTAGAAGGACATGAATTTATTTCCTATAGTCATACATACAGTTCACAAAAGAGTGTTGTTGGTATATGTATACAACTGTGACAAATTGGGAAACAATTTACAAAAGCCCCTCCCTGTACTTGAAAGTTTAATGAGTAAATATGACTTTGAAAATTTTGAAGTTAATTCACTATGTATCTTTAGAATCTTCTTTTCTGGAGATAACTTGGCATTTGACATATTTGGTTATTAGATTGAGTTATATCTTGTTTAGTTACCTTATAAATGTTTCTCAAATCTGTTACAGAGGCTGCTGGCTGTATTTTAGTGGTAAAGTAGTTTTAGTGCCTTTGAAAATGTCTAATAATATTTCTAGTAAACTGAAATTGGTCAGTGTATTGACATGTTCCAATACAAATGTCCAGCAATATAGGTATTTATAGACAGTGAGGTGGTGTACTGGACTATTCAAAATTTTAAAAGATTTCTAAACTTTTGTAATAAACATTTGGTAGAAGTTGTATAGACTCCTGGCTGTTAGGATTCCTAGCGCTTTGGATTTTGATAAGGCATTTAATCTTGCTGAGCTTGTTTAGAATTGATAATTATACTTAGCTCCACCATTTTTTAAAGATTCATTCATTCATTCATGAGTGCTCTATCTGCATGCACACCTCTACACCAGAAGAGGGCCCCAGATCTCATTACAGAAGGTTCTGAGCCACCATGTGGGTGCTGGGGATTGAATTTAGGTTGTCTGGAAGAGCGGCCAGTGCTTTTAATCCCTGAGCCATCTCTCCAGCTCCCTCGCACTATTATTTTGAGGCTTAAGTGAGATGGAAAGCACAAAACACGTAGTACTAAGTTTGGTATGTATGTAGGTATGTAGTAGCTATTACTTTTAATATTACTTTTAATAAGGTAGTCTGCTTCTCTAAACCTCATGCCTTCTCATTACCACACTTGCTCACATGCTCACCTAGTCATTTCATCTCCAGCAAGAGTGCTTACTGATGTTAGAATGGAAGAGATCACTCACTATAACATTGATCATAATTAAACCAAAGCCATTTGATATTTAAATCTCAGGGTTGTTAAATGGAGTTTTACTTCTCTATCTATTTTTCTCCTTTGCTTTTTTGTTTTGTTTTGTTTTGAGATAGGGTTTCTCTATGTAGCTTTGCAGTCTGTCCTGGAACTCACTCTGTAGACCAGGTTGACCTCGAACTCCCAGAGGTTTGCCTACTTCTGTCTGCCGAGTGCTGGGACTAAAGGCGAGCACCATCAATGCCTGACTCTCCTTTGCTTTATTTTGTTTTTTTAGTCAGGGTCTTAACGTGTTCCAAGGCTTACTTTGAAATCAGTTCTTCATATCCGTTGATTCCATGTCTGTGACTTCAACAAACCAAAGGTTAAAAACATCCTTTCCAAATGAATTAGCTAGCCAGGCATTGGTGATGCACACTATTAATCTCAGCACTTGGGAGGCAGAGGCAGGTGGATCTCTGAGTTTGAAGCCAGCTGGTTCCAGGGCAGCCAGGACTGTTACACAGACCCTGTCTTGAAAAACCAAAACCAAAAGAAACAAAAAAAAAATTAATTAGCTGGCTCGGCATAGTGGTGAATGCTTTAATCCCAGCACTGGGGAGGCAAAGACAGGCGGGTCTCTGAGTTTGAAGGTCAGTCTGGTCTAAATAGTGAGTTCTAGAATAGCAAGGACTACAAAGAGAGACCCTGTCTCAGAAAACAAAACCAAAAGCCAAACAGATGCATTAGCTGTATGCAGTAGCATGTACTCATAACTACCAGATGAGACAGCAATATTACTTGAGCCCAGGAGTTTGAGATCAACCTCAGTAATGCAATGAGATTCTCATCTTAATGAAAAATTGCATATATATTGAATATTGGTTTGTTTCCTTTTCAGTATTTGGACTTTAAATAGTAGTATAAGAAAATTCTATAACATTTATATTGAATCTTGGGTATTATAAGTGATGTGAAGATATTTATTTATATCAGGGTCTGACTGTGTAGCTCAGGCTGGCCTCAAAAGTCATGATCCTCTTACCTCAACTTCTCCAGTGCTGGGATTGTAAGCATGTGTCAATATACCTGGCCGAGATGTTTTTTAAGTTGTACTGGAAGAGTGCAGTAAGTTAAATGCAGATACTGAACCTTGACAGATTTGGGTGTGTCAGGGTTCTAGAACCAGTTACCTGTTCATATCAAAGAATGCTCTCATTACTTTTATGGGCCATATACAAATTATAGTAGCTTTTTTTAATTCAAGAGATGAGTATAATTATCAATGCAATGATATAAATTTCTTTAGAGAGCTTATTTTTAATTATGTGTCTTTGTATGGGTGTTTACTTGTGTACAGAGGTGTCAGCTCCACCTGGAGCTGGAGTTACAGGTGGTCCTGAACCACCTGACATGGGCGCTAGAGCTGAACTCGGATCCTCTTCAAGAGCAGTACACACTAACATGTTCTGTGCCATCTCTCCAGCCTTAGAATTTTGTTGTTGTTTGTGACAGGATCCAATACATCACAGGTTAACCTTGAATTCCCTTTGTAGCTGAGTCTAGGAATATAGGCATGCTCCACCATGTCCAGCTCTAAATTGTCACAAATTTTAAACTAACTGCAAGAATCAGAAATCCAAATCACTTATGTACATAGTTCATATTCATAGTAAACCAGAAACATACAGGTGTGAGTTAATGTGATATTTTATCAAATTTCATAGTATTGTGTGGATATGTGGTACTGGGGGCTATAACGTAGGACCCTTACATATGCACACTTTCTTCAAGTCTTGCTGTAGACCAGATTGACTTCAAACTCCCAGAGATCCACCTGCCTCTGCCTTTAGTGCTGGGAATAAAGGTGTTCACCACCACTGACCCCCCTTACATATGCTAGGTTAGTGCTATACTACCAAGAAAAAACCTCATCCACCCCCACTTGTTTTTGCCAACCTTCTTGAAGTAACAGTCTTCATTCCTCATACACCCAAGTAGCTGGGATTATAGGCCTATGCTACTAGGTCTAGTATTTTATATAGTTTATATAATAAATTCTCATGCATTTTAAAATACATTTGTTAATTGTTTAGTTAGTTAATTTCCGGTTTTTTGTTACTTGTCTGCTGACACGGTGTCTTACTGTGTACCCAAGCAGCTCTTACTCTCAATCCCCTTGCCTCTGGCTTCCCACTTACTGCTATTATAGAAGTGTACTACAGGGCTCCAGCTGCATTTAACTTAACTTGAGACTTGTTTTGTTTTGTTTTTGTTTTTGAGACAGGGTTTCTCTGTGGCTTTGGAGGCTGTCCTGGAACTAGCTCTTGTAGACCAGGCTGGTCTCAAACTCACAGAGATCCTCCTGTCTCCGCCTCCCAAGTGCTAGGATTAAAGGTGTGCACCACCAATGCCTGGGATTTTTTTTTTGAGACTTGTGCCTTAATTCAGGTCTTGCCATTATACTTTGGCTGTCCAAGAACTCACTCTGTAGACCAGCCTGGCCTTAGGCTCACAGAGATCTGCCTGCCTTTGCCTCCTGAGTTCTAGGATTAAAAGTGTGTACCACCACTCTTGGCTCAGCCATGTCTTAAACTTCAATTTATATGCATAAAAACTAGAGAACTAGCTTTTGCCTTTTGTTAATAATGATGTACTTGTCATTTCAAGGGATCTTCACTGAACTAAGTAACATTCTTTCTCTAAACTAGAATATGTTCTGTGTGAAAATATGAGTTAAACTCTTTTTGTACTTTTATAGAAGATATGTGGTTCTCAGAACACATTTTTAAAATAAGAGAGTAAGGTTGGAGAGATAATTCAGCAGTAAAGAGCTCTAACTTGCAGGGCATTGGTGGGGCACGCCTTTAATCCTAGCACTTGGGAGGATCTCTGTGATTTCGAGGCCAGCCTGGTCTATAGAGCAAGTTTTAGGAGAGCCAGCGCTACACAGAGAAACCCTGTCTCAAAAACAAAGCAAAAAACCCAAACAAACAGAAAAAACGAAAGACAGAAAAATGCACTGACTGTATTTTCAGAGGACCCAGGTTTGGTTTCTAGTATCTGTGATGGCTAATACATCTTTGTCTCTAGTTCCAGAGGATCTGACACCCTCTTCTGGCTTCCATGGATACGGCACACATATATATACATACAACAACATTCGAGCAAAACACCCATGTACATAAAAATAAATCTCAAAAACAGTAGTGAAAATAAAGTAGTAGGAAATGTTATATAGAGGTGTGAGAGAAGTATGATAGTATTATATATATATATATATACACACATATATACATAGACATATATATATGCATAGACATACACACACACACACACACACACACACACACACACACACACTGTGTACATCTTTATGTAGACTAGGCTGGCCTCAAACTCCTAGAGATCTGCCTGACTCTATGCAATCACTTCTGGCCTTTGTTCTCTTTTTTGATGGGACATTGGTAGATGGGCTTATGCTGATGATTATGAGCTTTGCAGTGAAAACATGTTTTCTCTTGCAGCCTGCAGATCTAAAGAAGAGAATAGAATCCCTAATTGACCGGGACTACATGGAAAGAGATAAAGAAAACCCAAATCAGTACAACTATATTGCATAGAATGTTGGCCTTGGAACAATTGTTGTCATATGCCGTAGCCAATGGATAAACTAACTTGTTGAATCTCGTATTATTTGACTTCTTTTATACTTCTGATGACCAAATGAAGCAGTGTAATGGAAATAGTTGCGTGGACTTTTCTCAGTGGTTAACATGCCCATTTTAAAGAGTAATACTTAACCTTTAAGAAGAATGTTGTTGAACTCTTTGCATGTTATTTAGTATGATGTGCAGAAAACTCTTTAAGAAAGTACCCGGTTTTCATGGTTTCTATTGGAACTGGGGAAGAGACCCCTATGACCACTAAAAAGGGGAGGGAAATTCTTATACATCATTAATGAAGCAAAGGGTTTATTTGCTTAAAAGTCACCTAAAGATACTTAAACTGCATGCAAACTTTATTTACTGTACAGAGTTCTGGATGTATTTATGAATAGAAAAGCCACCCTGGACTTGGTTGTTCACCCGTTTTGTGGTTTTCCTTGGAAAGAAAACTAAGTTTTCATTGCTGTTGGCATTCTGTTACACTGAAAGGATTGGTTAAGAAACCTTATTTGGAAACAGGTTTTTCAAGTAGGGTGACAGTTACTTCCATAATACCTTATATATTCACATCCTAAAATTTCCATTTATGAGTGTGGGATGTGTACATATGACTTAGCCCCAAATTTACTGTGCTGATTAACAGGTACTTATTAAAATAGGTAAGATAGAAAAATTGCTGATCATTTTGTACTAGAAGAACATATTAAGAGGGAGAAATCCAGTTCTTTTTATTAAAAATGAATACAGTATGAAAATCAACAGGAGACAGAAATCAACCTGTTTTGTAAATTGCAGGAGCAAAAATCACCAGCTACTTTTCATTATGCTTCAGTCTTTAAATGTTGTTTGGATCGTTTTGTCTTTAACTTGGGCCAATTGTCAATTGTTAGAGGCTTCCTGGGATTTGCATTCCAGTTTTTTCTACTGAAGTAGTTCTTTTTTTTTGGAAGCGTCTCTTATCTTTGTTGGTAAACAAAGCTTTTGCTTTCATACACCTCCTGACTTGGAGAAACTCTACATATGGTCCTCCCTTACATACTCCCTATTTGAAAATTTCAGATTCTGCATTCTTTTTTTTTAATTGCTTGAATTTAAGAGTTCTCATAGCCACTGGACACCTGCTTTTCAGGGAAATTTCCCCAAATTGTTCACACACATAATAACAAAAGTATTGTTCTTCAAATTCAAAATGTGAGTAAATGACCTGTCTTCATCACCAGAGGGTTTTGTTTTGCTTCCTGGTTTCTTTTTCTGTGAAAGGACTTGATTACCAGAGAGATTCAGATAGTTTTTAGTGTTTGTTTTTAAAGTAGAATTTCTTCAGTGCTTTAT